ACGTTTCGGTCCGTCCTGGACCATTCTCAAGTCGATTGTGATAATTACATTCAGAGATTGTGATAATTATCACAATCAACTTGAGAATGGTCCAGGACGGACCGAAACGTCGTCGTCCCTTCATTTTCTAGTGTCTGGTCATCATTTTTCAGCCACGTTATTGTGACTCTTCATCTGTATACACGTAATGGGTGGTAAGGAAGATCTTGTGGTGGGTCTAATAACCTTCCAGTAGTTGATATGCAAGCGCAGCACCAAGCTCAATTGCTTTTATTTAATACATAAAAACAAATTCTATTGTATGACGACCAAAATTGAGAGTCTAACAAGAGCAAGATAAATCTGAATAATAATAAAAAAATTACTTATCAGTGTTATATTCAGAGTTTCAGATTGTGAAGCTTAGTTAATTTGTCAGTTTTAAATGATAAAAAATCAATTTTTTTTATTGTGTAGTTTTAGCATGTTACATGTTTATTTTAGACTGTCTAATCACGGCTGTCAATCAACTGGTGTACAGATTCCTGAGCCTATTAGGCTCTATCATATCTACATTTGAAAGTGTGTATGGAGTCAGGCTCCACCACATCACTGCCTAATGCATTACATTTCGTAACTACTCTGATGTGTGTCTGTCCGAGGGTATGGACATTCCATCCTAGTTTGATTGAAAGAGGAGGGAGGGGGGGGGTTGAATGATATTGAAGTGTAGGGTTAAATGCCAATATAAAGAACTTACCTAATATTTTGATGCTTTTAATTAATAATAATAAAGGTTGTGGGATTTATTCATAGGTTGTTGTTAAAGATTTGCTACCTGGAACAAAGTTCCAAGTAGCACGGGCTATGGTGAGCCCGTAGTTCCTTTATTCATAGGTGTAGATATTGGCATGTCGTCCAAGAGGCGAGGCTAGGTCATCCTTAACAACAGTTGGCACCAGGACGGAGCGGTGGTCTCATAGATAATAAGATAACATGATAACGCTATCCAACCTATCTGGACATCACGCGTGGGCGTGATATCTCCCACGCCCACGCGGACTCAGCCTCCCCTCGTGTGCCTCATGTTAATAATAAATAATAATGTTTAATACAGGTCGTGTTATACATAACTAACATTCATTATTACATTTATGTATTTATTATTGATCATTCTCGTATACTTCTGTAGAGTACTTTTGTTATTCCTTTACGCTGCCAATGTACGCAGTATCCATCAAGCAATTTCCGGGTCCTGAACACTTGCCATTGTAGGTTAGATAATACAATAAGGTTAGTATACAATAATACTTTTTTTGGGGGTTTATTTAGTAAGTCTATATCGCGGTGTTTAACGCTTAGTCTTAAGGCTTATGACTCGTGGACTGCCTGGATCATTAAGACCTCTGGACTGCCTGGATTATTAGGGCTTAATGGACCTTATGGATCATTAAGGGATATGGACTTTCTGGATCATTAAGGCCAATAGACTGTCTTTATTAAGATCTATGGACTGCTTGGCTCATCAGAGCAACAGTCTACCTCGTTTTTGACTTATAAGTGACAAACTTAAAGTTAAAAGTAAACTTAATCCTTATGAAATAATAAGTATACTTTCCAGTGTATATATAATAATACTTTTTGTGGTTTGGTAGTCAACTGTAGTCAACAAAGGGATGGAATAGAATTTGGTTAAAGAAGGCAGTAAATGGATTTAAGAGAGAGAAAAAGTATATAGTTTTGCATGATTCCATAAAATTATTTTTTGGTAAGTTAGGCTGCGACCAGAAACCCGATACTGCCCACCTTCCCGATCAATTAAACCTTACATGTTTTTTTGTCATTTATTATTATTATTATTATTATTTAGGATTTGTGTATTGGTTTGTGAGATAGAAACTGTGAACCTAGAGGTGAATTATGTGTTTCTCTTGTATATTGCCGCCCGAGTCCGTGATGAATGTGTGACCTCGCTCCCAGGTCTTAAATTTATGTGTGCAAGGTTTTTTTTTCTTGTTGAGCCTTTACCTTTTGTGCGCGCTCTGTCTCTCTGTCTCTCTCAATAACTACGAACCTAAAAATTACCCAAAATAATTTGTTTCCATATGTTGCATGGATTGGGTGTCTTTATTGAACAGGACTTGATATCTCCCATGAACAGCAACGATACAAAATATTTTTTTTATTTATTATTCAACGAGGGCGGATAATTCACGTATTTGCTTTGTTTATTGTTTTATCATTTTGTGTTTTTTCCCGTCTGTTTCTGGTCGGCATCAGGGAAACACTTCTCATTAACTCGAAACTCAAACCACTTAAGTATGTCCATAAAGCGAAACTTTCTGCCGAAGTTGGGCAGTGTGGTCCCCTGGTGGCCGTTTCGGGAACTTAGTTTTTATTTGTTCCGAGACCTTCGTTGCTCGCGCGTGTTACAATAACGAATAAATCTAACTAGAGTTGTTGTTGATTTATTCACATAGCAAAATATGTTAACTACATCATCAGCTCATTTGCTGTACACAGCATGATGTGCTACCAACTCTAGACTTGTTAGTCACATAATGTGCTAAGCCATGCTTGCTTCACACAGCAGCATGTGCTATGTGCTAACTACACCAGATGTGCTAATTAAACCAGACTTTGTATACACAGCAGCATATGCCTACTTGACCTAATTTGGTACACTCCAGAGGACCCAGAACAGAAAACGGGACGTCATGTCAATTTAACGAGCCGCTACCATTTTTAGTACTCCAGTTTTTGGCTTTAGGGAAATTATACGTCAAAATGCGATGAACTGTTCAGGAGAACGGGTGGCCTCAATAGCAACCAGGGGGCTAGATTCACGAAGCTGTTACGCAAGCACCACCGAACGTGTACATCTTTCTTCAATCTTTGACGGCTTTGGTTACATTTATTAAAACACTTTACAAGCATGAAAACTTGCCAATCAACTGTAACTGTTGTTGTCGTTATAAACAGCCTCCTGGTGCTTCGGAGCTCATTAACTGTTTAATAATTGTAAACAAAGTCGCCAAAGATTGAGGAAAGATGAACAGGTTCGTAAGTGCTTGCGCAAAAGCTTCGTGAATCTGGCCCCAGGTCCAGGATTGACAACTGCAAGCATTTAAAACTCAATGCATGCAATCGACATATGCAAAACTGCACCAACAATTCAGTTCACAGCGCGATCCATAATATTAAAACAGAGCGCTAATCATACTTGATTTCCCAGTACAGTAATGTAAGACGGCGAAGCCTATCCCGTAGGGTTGGGAATTATGATGTTATTGTTGTTTAAGATTCGCTACTTGGCACAAAAAGTTCCAAGTAGCACGGGCTACGGTGAGCCCGTAGTAGTAGTAAGGAATTATGAATCCTACCCTTTTGGGTTGGCAGTTATTAAAGGTAATAGAAGTTCACATGGTTCGTCACGTGGCCCCAGAGTGTGACGACCCCGCCGAATCCAGCCAGTAATAACCCCGTTACGCGATCCACCCGGACATTGGTCCCTCCAGCCGACGCGACCCAGTCTCTTCCACCTCCCCTCCCTTATCTTCTCTCCTTCCTCCACTTTCCATCCTTCTTCCTCACCTTTCCTCAATTTCCGTTCCGTTCTGCTTGTCCATTTCCTTCCTCACTTCCCCCGCACTTTTTTACCCTCTCACTGCCCCTTCTCCCTCCCATTGCCCCATCCTCCCCCTCCCACTGCGTTTTTATCCTTCCCACTGCTCCTAACAGTTCATTCATTTCCCCTTTCACTGCTACCTCTCTCCTCCAAATACCTAACGTCACTGTTTAAACTAGGCCAAATTGGGTTATTAGGCTGCTTTCCTTCCATCACTCTCTTACCGTCTCTCATTTTCCAGTGTCATCTCCCTCGCTGTTGTTGTTGGTTTAGATTTAGCTACTCGGAACGAAATGTCCATGTAGCACGGGCTATGGTGAGCCCGTAAATGAGTTCGGTTATTCGCGATAACTTTGTTATTGTGATATTTGGGTCAAAGTTCTACACGAAGGTGGAGTTTCCTCCTTTTCTCCAGTTTCTTTTCCGCTTCTATTTTAGCGCATTGGTTTCTCTCTCGCCACTTTCCCTACCCTTCACCACCTTCCCTACCCTTCACCATCTTCCCTACCCTTCACCATCTTCCCAACCCTTCACCATCTTCCCTACCCTTCACCACCTTCCCTACCCTTCACCGCCTTCCCTACTCCTATTATTGAATCATATAGAGTATAATATGGCTGATGAATCTTAGTGAAGATGAAGTCTGGTGTGTAGTGGAAATGGAAGTTTGGTATCATTTTGCATTTCATGCTAAGCGCGGCATGGGGGACGACCCCCAACCCGCCTTTAATTATCCCTGTACAACCACTAGTCACCCTGCAAAGTTTAGGAAGGCTAATATTAATATATATATATATATATATATATATATATATATATATATATATATATATATATATATATATATATATACTTATTTCATATAAAGGAATTCGTGTTTGTTATAGAGTTTAACTGGTCACCAGTAGGTGGTGCGCCTTGAGGAAAAGAAGGGCATTAATGGGGTGCGCTCTAACGTTTTTCTTGTATTTAGCGTTTCTTGTTCTCTGTTCTCACGATGGCCGTGGTGTGGACCCCCCACACGTCACACACTCATCGTGCTGCCAACACTCACGTCACACACTCATCATGCTGCCAACACTCACGTCACACACTCATCATGCTGCCAACAGTCACGTCACACACTCATCATGCTGCCAACAGTCACGTCACACACTCATCATGCTGCCAACACTCACGTCACACACTCATCATGCTGCCAACACTCACGTCACACACTCATCGTGCTGCCAACACTCACGTCACACACTCATCATGCTGCCAACACTCACGTCACACATCATGCTGCCAACACTCACGTCACACACTCATCATGCTGCCAACACTCACGTCACACACTCATCATGCTGCCAACACTCACGTTACTACATATATAGAGGCAACGAATACAAGATGAGTTTGTTTATTTAATATCACATACCAATCTTGATAATGACTTCACCTTTAACAATGTCATTTATTTCATTGGCGTCTTTACATTAATGGCTTTCTGCCTGGCAGAGTGGTTTTCTTTAAAGATATGAGTACACTTCTCTAACAAAGAAAACTGATAAGACCTACGACAGTAGATTACAGTATTTCTTTTTTTATTGAAACAATCATTGATTGTTTGCATAATTGGCAGGTTATCAATGAGCTCGTCCGTAAGGCGAATTGTTGAGCTATTAAGAGGATCACGTTATCTGGTCGAGTTGATGGACTGGACCAGGCAACGCGGACCATATATTGATCAACGAGGCGCCCCACGTTCGCACCCGTTATCAGCAACGGAAACAACTTGTTCAGAATGTACAGGTAAGTAGTTATTTTTTTTTTAGCAGAATTCAAGAGTACTTATAAAGAAGGGTGAGAAAGATGGTCAGTTACACAGGGGGTAAATAATGGTATGCTTGGTGGCCGGCGACCACCATACAGGAGCTGCTGGGGGCAGTTAAGGCTCAATGCCTCGCAAAAGAACAGGGAGATGCGAGCCTTAGACTGTGTGTTCCCCGCGGCTGGTGTCTGTTGCTCGCCGGTCACGTATTCTAGAGTATGATGGCTGTAGCTAAACTAGGAGTCGCACTCGGGAGACGCACTCCAGAGACACACACACACACTTGGGAGACACTTTATACTCCCAAGAGATGACTCGTCGTCAACACTCACATCCGCTAGTGTTTGTATTTTTGGTGGTGCGTAATTGTCCACAGTTGCTGTGGGTTTAACCGCCATTGTTCGTATTAAAGATTATGGAGCGAGTGTGGCTTAGAGTTCATTGAATGTCCCCGTATGATGCGTCTCCCGTTCGCGACATTCTTGAGACCGTACAGTGGGGCACATGAAGGCTGTGAGGCAAGACAGTGGAGTGGGACAAGTTTGGGGGTCATCTGGGGCACCAACTACCCTATAAAAGTCCCCTACCCACGGGCATATCTAACCACCTCTCCAATACTGAACTAAAACTAATGTACCACTGGCAAGCCTAGCCTCAAATAATGTTCCTCTTCATTTGCGAGTACAGTAGTTAGCTGTCAAAATGAAACCTTAAAGCGGAGTACAGAACGTATCAAAGACAAAGTAGGTGGGGGGGGGAGGGGGAACGTTGATAAGCCGCCGGCTTCCTATCCTCATCGAAGCCACTAGAGCGATGGTGACCCTTAGGTAAATTCAGGTACGGGAAACTCCAATTACTCTCAGAAATGACTAGACCAAGCTCAGATCCCCCCAAAAATGCAGCTTAAAACGCAAATTGTGTCATCAGTGTTCACTACAGTCTACACCGTTCATTGACCACTATGAAACTCACAGCTTCGCTGCCAAAGCTTAAATTTTGAAGAAAAAGCTACGCATTTCAATAAAAGAAAACCGTGCGAGGGGAAACTCGTCTCTCGGAGCTGGAACACAAATTTGCTCTCGCCCTCGTTGAACTCTGTAATGGGAACTCGTTCCAATCACTGTAATTAATGTTATATTAAAGCCACCAACAATAATTGTTGACGACGCTGATGCACGTATCAACAATTATACAAAATGGGGCCCAAGCCGCCCTAATGTGACGTCACGAACAATAACATCGCGTAACAACATAATGTCACATTTACATTTTAGAAGCGTTAAAATTTTTAACTTGTATATTACGATATTATCATTAGAGAAGTGAATAAATGTCAGCATTCCAGAAAACTAAATCTTAATTTTATTTCATCTCAAACTCATATGTGGCATGGACAGACTTCGCAAAATTGCAAGACAACGAATTAATCAGTAAAAAAACAACAACAAATCAGAAACTCTTAAAAACATATATAAGTTTTGATATAAAACTTGTGCCGACGATAAAGCAACTTGAAGCTGCTCCTGGTGAGATGTAGATAATCTTGTAGAGACAGAAACACGTCAAAGGCGCTATAATCTTCCGTGGCCTATCTTGAGGTGGTTTCGGGGCTTAGCGTCACCGCGGGCCGGTCCTCGACCTGGCCTCCTTTTTGCTACACACACACAGACCCAGGAAGCAGCCCGTAGCAGCTGGCTAACTCCCAGGTACCTATTTACTGCTAGGCGAACATGTGAAACAGGGTGGGAGAAACTATGCCCATTGTTTCCGCCTCCGCCGGGGATCGAACCCTGAACCTTAGGACTACAAATCCCGAGCGCTGTCCACTCAGTCGTCAGGCCCCCTCTTACACTTCGTCCTTTTCTTGCGGAATTATCGTCTACATTTAGCATTATTTAATTAGACGCAATATCTTCTGTTTTTAAGGTAAGAATAACAGGGATATCTTATATAATACAGAGAATGTCTCAATACCATCGCTGAAAAACAAATCTATATATTTAATATTTTGTGCAAATCATATACTTTCATTTTTATTTTTAAAATTGCCATTAAAGTCATTTTTTACCAGAAATATATATATATATTTTCACAATTTCTTTTTAATTTTGAATTGTTTTGCTCATATAACTTGATCTTGGATCATTGTAAGTTCAAATTTAGCCCATTTAATCCAGCTGTGCTTTGATGAGCGCAGTCCGCTCACAACCGGCAGGTCCAGGGTTTGAATCCCCGGCAGTACGGAGATATTTGGGCATGTTTCCTTTTACCCGATGCCTCTCCTCACCTAGCAGTAAATAGATACCCGGGAGTTATTCAACTGTTGTGGGTTGTAGCATGGGAGAGTGCAGTCGTTTGTTTAGGAGGAGGGGGGGGGGTGGAGCGGCCTCGAAAAGCCCAATAGGCTTCTGGTCCACGACATCGCGGTGGGAATTGGAACTACCTAATTCTTTTCCTTAAACTTGGCCTATTTCTAAGACAAAACTGACTTTACCGTAACTCAAGCCTGACTGACTTTATCTTAACTCAAGCCTGACTGATTTTATCGTAACTCAAGCCTGACTGACTTTATCTTAACTCAAGCCTGACTGATTTTATCGTAACTCAAGCCTGACTGACTTTATCTTAACTCAAGCCTGACTGATTTTATCGTAACTCAAGCCTGACTGATTTTATCTTAACTCAAGCCTGACTGATTTTACCGTAACTGAAACCTGTGTCTAACTTTACCGTGGCCCAAAACTGACTTTAACGTGACCCAAACCTGACTTTAACATGACCCAATCCTGACTTAAACGTGACCCAAATTTGACCTGGCTTTCCAATGACCCCTGACCTGACTGGCTCCACGGTCTTGCCACACAGCTAACACCTTCATTGCCCAAGTTGCAGCTGACCTGACTCCCATCTCGCCCACTATATCACACATGAGAAAACTCTTTGGTATTACCATTGGCAACAGCGAGAAGTATATGTATCCCGGGAACTTGTATCACCGGTATATTTACGTATACATGCTCTGGAAATGTGTATCTTTTGGAGCTTTTTATCTCTTGCAGAGCGTATGTATGCTCCGCTGCTGTGTTTGGAGCATGCTTCACATGTATCCTGGGAGCATGTGTAACTAAGTATATATAAACTCCACATTTGGATATTCGGAGCATGGATTTCCAAGTGTATGTATACTCCAAGTATGTATCCTCGGAGCTTGTGTCACCAAGTGTATGTATACTTGTATCTATCACCGGAATATGTTTACCAAATGTATGTATGCTCCACGTATCTATCCTCGGAGCATGTTACCAAGTGTATATATGCTCCACATATGTATGTATGTATAAAAATCGAAGCACAACCACTCGGTCGATCACAAAGCATTGTTTTTGTGGTTGTAAACAATGGTTGCCACTCACTGTAATGACGAATGTTCAAAGCTCTGAGCTAGACCTCTTCGTGAACGAAACAAACACATATATTTCGTTCATAAAATTATTAGGAGAAAAAATTAATAACAGAATAAATAACGTATTGTAAAGACTATATGAATGGATAAACCAGGACCGATTTTTAGCTTTTGAAGTTGTTACAAAATAGTATTGACAAAGGTTTGATTACTCTTGTTACGACCCGCGACCCCCAGCCCGGCGTAGCCTCATGTGTTCGCTACCTGGAACAAAACGTTCCCAGCAACACGGGCTATGATGAGCCCGCAGTCAGCCTCATACGTGAGTGGAGACACTCTTAGTGGATATAGCAAACTAGCCTTCAGTACTAGGTTTGGGCTCCTTGGTAGCTGTTGGTGGGTATGTGTGTATGTTGCGCTCGGGATCTCAGTGGATGTGAATCACTGAAACTTCCAAAGTTGTATGTCAACTGAATGAAAATCATGCTTATCTTAACCGGGTCGAGGGTCATACAATATTACCCGTGGGGTTACGTAGGTTTTATATAGCTTAGCGGCACAACCAGACCCTGTCTTATGGTCTGGTCAGCTGGCCGAGTCCTTCATCTGGCTTCTGCATCAAAGCGTTCTTGTAAACAAATACAATTACTGTAGCGTTGTTGGCAACTGGAGTTGTTTAAGCAACTGTCCAAACCCACAATGAGCAATGCGCTCACCTGACAATAATCAGACTCTAGCTAAACAGGAAGTTACTCAATTATATCCTGCTTGCCTGTGTAGGCCGGGCCGAGGGTCATTGAGCACATGAGTTTGTTGACCAGTAATGGGCAAAGTTACTGGCTGACCGGACACTACCCGCCAGGGGGCGCTATCCTCCAATGGCCAGACAAGCCTAGACCAAGCCTATAGGGTCTGACTAGTCCAGGGACGTGGTCTCTCTCTCCAGCTACTGGCCACCTACAACGTTTTAGGTCTGATATGAAAACTTTGACAAGTCATTGCCCTCCACAGCCTAGCATATGTTGTTGATTTGGTTTCATATGCTGTCAACCCTTACTGCTTTCCCCGACCCTTTTAAACAGTCCTTGCTACTGACACTATCTTGTAGACGAGGACCACTACCAGCGACACCTCTAGAGAGACTCGTTTAGTGTGCGACCCCTGGTAGTGTAACCTGCCTGAAACCAGCAAGACCTGCACGAGACCAGCAAGACCTGCCTGAAACCAGTGAGACCTGCCTGAGACCAGTAAGTCCTGTCTGGGACCAGCAAGACCTGCGTGAGTCTAGCAGACCTGACTGAACCAGCAACCAGGGTGCCGGGAGATGGTATACATGCTGGAAGAGGCCATAGCTACGCCTGGAGAACATTATACGGGGCCCCATATCAATTGTTTTACGGGTTGTGACTAGATGATCTCTGACTAGAGGTTGTGAGGCGCACGGGCGCGCATGAGGGAGCCCTGGACGCGGCATGGTGCGACGCAGGTTATGAATGGTCGTCTTGGAAGACGCAAAGGGCGGCCCTGTTCACCTGAGGCCTTACCTACAGGTCCCTAGCCAGCATTCACCTGGCATGAGCTCCCCTTATCATTCCCCATTCCTCTGGACGCTCCCTTGGGTTCCCGTCGACCCCTGAATGTGGCCAGTATCTCCCAAGGTGTTTCCACAGGCCCATGTGTGCAGCTAGGCCCAGGTCATGCCCCCAGCAACAACAAAGCAGTCTCCCTACTAAGTATGAGTGTGCGCTTGCCCTGCCCTACGCCCCTCAAGCTGCCGTCTGTTGCGGCTGCTGCGGCACCGCCAGTGGCACCTGCTGCTGCACAACCACCTGTTGTGTCATTAACACCTGCTGCTGCTGCTGTTGCTGCTGCTGTTGTCCGCAGGCCTTGAGCTCGGTGAAGACCTCCGTGAAGAATGAAGGCTCAGCGTTGATCCTGAGCATGGAGGCGCTGAGGGTGTTGATGATAAAAAGGCAGCGGTCCCAGAAGCGGTCCTTGTCTTCCTCAACTAGGAAGGGCTTGAGCGGGTAGGAGATCTCGTTGCCCATGTAGGAGTAGGAGAGGTAGAGGCAGGTGAGGACGACCGCCTGCAGCTCCTGCTCGCTGTGGACCTCCTCGCTCACCAGCTCCCGCACCAGCATGTACACGAACACCACGTTGGCCGGGTTGATGAAGGCGATATCCTGCGGAATAACAAACCGTTTAGTTATCTTCCTGTTATCCACAACCCGTCAATCCTCAACTCTTGTAACTGCTTTCATATATTTGTGTAATGGATACTATCTTTATATTTAACAATATTCTCAGAGATATTTAATACATAATCTTGTTATCTTTCTATTAAATAATATTGTTAGTGTTATATATTATTAGATAATATTCATAGTTTTATTAGTTTATAGTTGAGTAAATTTAGTATATACAACACTACCATCATGACTCGTGTGTCGTACATAGTCAACACAAATATTTACATAAGGGAAAACAAAGACAAACACAAGATCTTATAACATATACGAAAACATTGGTTTTCCTTGTTTTAAATCATTTCGTGAAACATAATTTAGCTTTGATATATTTTCCTATTTATTGCATGTTTTCCCTTTGGCAGCGTTCCATCTTACTACACACATGTGACTCAGCCAGGCCATACCAACCAATCCCGCCTCACCAAATTTGACACCGTTAAAATTGCAACTGTTTTGCCTAACCAGAGAGATTACGGGCTCACTATAGCCCGTGCTACTGGAACTTCTTGTTCTGAGTAGCTGAATCTAAAAACAACAACAGCCTAACCAGAAGCATTCGAACCCTGGCAATTCCTCTAACCTAAAGAGACTCATGCTCAGAAAAGGTGAGAATTACAGGGCTTTATATTATCTTAATACCCAATATTGTTAACAGTTCGGTAGATTCCATTATTAATGGGATGCAATAGTTGAAAGGCCAGGTTTATTGGTCTGTATTCAGACGGCGAATTCTGTATTATTTTTAAGACATTCACTTAACGACTTGATATATTAGAATTTCTTTTTAACTTAAGGCAAGAGTTGGCGAATTGAATCGATATTTTAACTAAGTGAACATATCATTCAACAATGGGATATCAACAAATGATTTCAAGCAAGTTATATCATTAATGCTCCAATCTGCCACAAGCGATGCCTTGAGGGGATGTCTCAGTTTCAGTTAAAAATAACTAATAATTTTTCTCACAGTTTTGGTTTTCTCATTAACCATAAAATAAGCCGAAGCGAGGAAAGTTATCGTGTTTTAATAGCACTATGGCCGTCTTCACAAAGCCTCGTGATTAACGCACGCTAAAAATTGGTAACAAACTTGATACAGGATATCAAAACGGAGATCAAGGTCAGGTCTTGTATATATATATATATATATATATATATATATATATATATATATATATATATATATATATATCCAAGTTATTCAAATATTCTATGTGCCACATCCTGCAGACTTTCATGTTTTGAAAGTTTTAATCGAATATTCTTTTGACTCCTTTGATAAGAATTCTTTTTAGTTGATTAGAAATAAAAATGCATTAACGCTATTCGCAATTTTAAACAAAATGCTGTTTGAATAAAACTGGACCTGACCTATTTAAAAGTGCGGTATGGTACAGTAGATATAAATTACAGTTGAGGGAATACCAGGCTATTGTTGCTGTAGCTGGCAACTGTATCAATCTGATATCATAGATGGCATCTGATATAACTTGCATCTGATTTCATAGATGGCATCGTATATCATAGATGGCATCTGATATCGTAGATGGCATCTGAAATAGATGGCATCTGATATCATAGCACTAGATAACAGTTAAAGCAGAGGGACACACTAGTTCTCTCTCTCTCTCGCCCAGGATAATGCACAATTGAAAAAGAATACAAATTGTCTGTATTATTAGGAATATATAAGAAATTTAACCAAATGTCCCAACATAAACTGAGGCTTGTAGCCCTTCTGACCTTTGTAAAATTAAAGTTTGCAAACAAAAATAGTCGCGTAAGCTGGTGTAAACAAAGGGATAAGGGGTTTTACAGCACGTTATGCAAATTAGGACCTTCTGGTGTAAATTTGCATCCCGGATTCTTGACATTTGCTCCGCCAGATGTAAATGCACATTGTAAATCGTCCAACCTCGGGAGAAACCAGTGTGCTTAGCGTGCCTGGCTTTTTCTTCTTCCACTCACACTTGTGGAGCCAGAGTAGGCTAGGCTAGGCTAGGTGAGGTGACCAGCAGATTTAAACAGGAAGATGTGTAGCGTGACAGGAAGGAAAAACAATCATAATGTAATCTGATTTCTACTTTAAAAAACTAATACATATTAAAACTTGGTCACTGTACGAGTGTTGAGTTAAGTGAGCAACTCGGGTTAAATTGAGCCAGCAAATCATCCGAACGGCCCCAGGCTCTTGGTTTAGCGAGCCGCTGAGTTTATCAGATCAGAATCCTGTCACATGTCCCAGAGGTCGCTACATGTTTCCTAGCCCTGGAGAGTTAAATGTACTGCGTATCCTTTAGGTGGAGTGATTGGCTATCCCTGGTCTGATTGGGCCTGCAGGGGTAAACTGACCCAGTAAACCTTCCGCTGCATTAAACCTGACTTCGGTTAACCGCCTAGGACTAACCCGAACGGCAAGATCTCACGCAGGCGTTAACAATGACGAAATAAATTGTATCTCAGGTCTGCGTCCATCTTGGTCGATGAAAAAAGGATAGAGGAAGGAGGGGGTTAGGGAGGAAGGAAGGATGCAGCGGTGGGATGAGGGCATGGGGGGTAGGAGGAACACGAGGACTCCAAGGATTGGGGCACGTAGCATCAAAGGCATTCCAGCACATAATGAAAGGTCAGAGGTCAGGTGCACTAGGTTGCGTGTGGGTGATTATGGGGTAGAAGCGATGGAAGAGCGACTTGGGAAGAGAAGGGTTGGCGGTCTGGAAGTTTATCTTGTGACCCGTAAGAGTGGAGACCTGGAAGGGTTGGATCCCAGCCTAGGTCGCTGAGGGCTTAACAGCTCTTAATAATAAAGAACCGCTTGAAACAAGGAAATAAAACCAGTCTGCCACTTTAAATGAGTAGCAAAGATTAAAAATAAAATTCTAAAGAGCTCAAACAGTACATATATGCACTTATTTTCAAAATTATCAGATAGAGGAAGACTTTGTAATTACTAAGGCATCCTGGCCCCCATGTGGGCGGAGGTATTTGGTCGTGCCTAAAGTTGGGCCACTTCCCGCCTCCTACTAACATCCCACACGTTCTTGAAGGAACTTTTATATTCATTTAGATACGGCAAAATTTGTGAGCTATTGATATGATATCGAATAGCAGTGGTTTTTAATACGTCAGTTTATGAACTAGAATCTTGCAATACTAATTTATCAGTACTCGACCATAATAAACATATGTTGAATTTTAAGTACAGTACTATGTTGTAAGGAATATTAGTGTGAACATTATCCTATATACTAGTGCTAGGCTGTAATGAAAATTATCCCATATACTAGTGCTAGGCTGTAATGAAAATTATCCCATATACTAGTGCTAGGCTGTAATGAAAATTATCCCATATACTAGTGGTAGGCTGTAATGAAAATTATCCCATATACTAGTGCTAGGCTGTAATGAAAATTATCCCATATACTAGTGCTAGGCTGTAATGAAAATTATCCCATATACTAGTGCTAGGCTGTAATGAAAATTATCCCATATACTAGTGCTAGGCTGTAATGAAAATTATCCCATATATTAGTGCTAGGCTGTAATGAAAATTATCCCATATATTAGTGCTAGGCTGTAATGAAAATTTTCCCCATATACTAGTGCTAGGCTGTAATGAAAATTATCCCATATACTAGTGCTAGGCTGTAATGAACATTAGTCCATACATTAGTGCTAGGCTATAACAAAAATTAATACGTTTTAGCTCCCTACTATATATCGGCAATTCAATGAAATATTCTCAATTAACTGGCGCCAATGACAGGCTTCGCTGTGCTAATTCCCCAAGTACCTTCCGCCGCTAACTTTATGCTGGACTTGGTGCCTCTTGGACAAAGTAAAGGTTGTGAGCAGCAGCCTGCAGACATTTACTGCAGCAATATATCTGCAGCCCAGAGCGCCGCTGAGGAAATGCTGCCCTCAGCGTGGCAGAGTTGTGCCGTGGCAGGCGGGAGGAACTGATCGGGTGGTGGTGTGTGAAGGCTGATATTGCACACGTGAGGAGAGAAGCAAGGTATCAAGCCCCGTATGGGCGGCGGCGTTCCCGCCCCCGTGTGGGTGAAGGAGTGCCCACAGATTGCCCACCCCCGTGTGGGTGGAGGCGTTCCCGCCCCCGTGATTATGGAGGAGTGCCCACAGATTGCCCACTCCTGTGTGGGTGGCGGCGTTCCCGCCCCGTGTTGGTGGAGGAGTGCCCACTCCCCGTGTGGGTGAAGGACTGCCCACTCCCACTGGAGAGTCGGTGGAGCGTCCGCCGTATATGAAAAATAATGATAATTGTAGCGCGCTCTTGACTACGCTTGTGCTGAATAAATCCCTATTACCCTTGTGGAGTGTAAACTGTGAACCTTGGGCCAGATTCACGAAGAAGTTACGCAAACACTTACGAACCTGTACATCTTTTCTCAATCTTTGGCGGCTTTGTTTACAATTATTAAACAGTTAATGAGTTCCGAAGCACCAGGCGGCTGTTTATAACAATAACAGTTGATTGGCAAGTTTTCATGCTTGTAAACTGTTTAATAAATGTAACCAAGGCCGTCAAAGATTGAGGAAAGATATACACGTTCGTAAGTGCTTGCGAAACTGCTTCGTGAATCTGGTCCTTGAGATTGAGGCCAGAGATAGTCACGTTAGCGACCAGCAGCGTAAACCCCGACAGTCTTAACAATAGTTTACCATAACGACCAACTTCTATTAGATACAGCATTATATGATGGTATACCTCTAACTGTATGAGAGTGAGTAACTAGTCGTACACAGTTGAGTCTAGGAGAGCCTCACCTGGTGGCTGAGTCAGGCACTAAACCTGCCACCATGAGTTACGCTGCACCCTACACTGGCTTCGGTAATCAATAACGACTACGGGCTCTCCATAGCCCGTGCTACTTGGAACGTTTTGTTCTAGGTAGCGAATCTTTAACAACAACAAC